GGAAAGAGACAGAGATGGCTATTGGCCTATCCTGAGACTGCTCACAACAGACTCTTGCCCATACCTGGAGCCTGTCCTGTGAATGGGATGCCCTGCCAGGAAGAAGAGATTCCCAGTGTGGGATCATCCCTGCCTAGGGGGATGCTCTGGTCTGAGTGAGTGGAAGAGAAACCCTGCTCCATTCAGAGAATTCCCTTCTCCCCATATCCTGTAACATGACGGGGGCGTGTGTCTCTCATGTAAGGGACAGCAACAGGGGAGCGGAACCTCTGGGTCTCACACATGGGATAAACTTACAACAGTTTACTGAAACATGCAGTTGATGCAATCTTCTTCAACCACATTCAAGCCACAGAAAATCATACAATAACCTCCTAAAGGAAAACATTTACCTTCACTACGAGTCTTTTCCTCTGTTAGTCACCAGGAGTACTGGCCAGAAGTTTTTCATAGACACGAGGTTTGTCAAATAAATGCCTGGACTCTAATACAAGCCGGGGTCTCGAACAGTTTGTACTAGTAGATGCTGGGGGCTTTTATTGGAAGTTTTACAGTAGCATATAATGACATCATAGTGAACAGTAAAAGCATGGCAGATGACATTGAAATAGATGCTAGTTGAAATTTTTCTTAAATCTAGAGGTGTTGTGGAATATATCCAGCGAGCGACTTGTGCTGCCCAGTGAGCGACTTGTGCTGTAACCCCTCAACTGGGTTTGATTTAAATTAGAACATCCACCAGCCAGGCCTTCCTGTCAGCATGCTGCCTTGGGCCCCACAAATTCGTTGGCCAGACCTGCTGAAGATGGATGTTCTGGGGAGAGGTTTATTTTCACTCACCATGAAGCTGGAAGTACTGGGGAGCTTTGAACTGTTCCATGCAAACTGGATGCTTGATACATGTGGTTAATAAATCAAGAAGAGGAGTGTTATTTGTTATTTAGATTATTATTGCTTACAAGACAGCAAGGTCTCTGCTTCCCTTGAATGAATTAAAGAAATAATTGCTTGACTTTGTTATTCATTATGACATGAGTCCTCATATTCCATCATATTCTGATGATGAAATACTACATTATTTTAGTGCCAAAATGCTCCAATCAGTCCTGAAGCTGCAGCATGCCTGGTGCTGTACAAACATAGAAAGAGACATAACTCTGAAAGGCTCATAATATAAAAACAAAACTGACAAAGGGTAGGGGATAAGAATACAGCACACAGGCAAATCAACCCAATGAAGAATTGGCACAGCTTTGTTAGTTACATTACTTTATTTTTTTTAACTAGAGGAAGAGATATAGGAAAGGAGGAATGGGAAAAAGATACTGCCATGTTTTTTGGCTTCAGGGTAGTATGAGATTTGCACTGGTCAATCTATATCTTGAGCTCCTCCCAGAGATGGACCAAGTTTAGCTATCCAGTTAGTCATTAACTATCCAGTTGGTCAAAGGCCAACTGAAAAACAAAGTATACCTCACTTATCTATATTGTGGGAGGATCTGGTGGCTTGCACATGGCTTGTATGGTCTCCACTTCTTTACATGGGCCTGGAAGGGTACTACATAAGGACTCAATCAGAAAAGTGTTGAGAAAAGACAGGAAAATCCTAATTCTCTCCTCTACCTGCCAGCTCAGCTGATCAAGCACTATATAGAGCCTCAGATTTCCTAACAACTTAGCTAGAGAATCAAATACTGTAAAGCATATATTAGGGGAGGTTCTTAAGCCATTGTACAAAGTAGCTGGACAACTGGAATATGTTTTGAAACTCTCATGCTACAATTTAATTGCTGCTATCCAGGGCTGCCTCAGCAAAATCAGTAATGGTGGGCAAAGAAATGCTGCTTCTTGCCTCCACTGTCCTAGCTCTAGAGAGCACTGGACAGGAATGGGGAGCAATGGTCTTTTCCTGTCATATTTCCTTTTCCTGAAGCTGAAGAAATGTCTATGACAACCCGGCGGAGGATGTTTCAGGGCCCAGGCCCACCAACGGGGGTGGGAGGACAAAGAGGCAATTACCCAGAGGCCTGGGTGATTTAAAGGGGCCCTGGGTCCTGTGGGTCACTACCACAGTAGCGGTGGCTGGGAAACCCGGGCCCTTTTATATTGCCTGGGAGGGATGCAGGGCCCCTACACATGCGTTCCTGGGTCACAGCACCCACAGCAGACTGCAGAACAGGTCTCCTGGCAGGTGGTGAACTCTGTGCAAAAGTACTGGGGCAGGAGAGCCCCTGGGTGGCCACAGGGTGAGTCAGGACAGCAGCCCCCAGCTGTGCTGGGAAGGCAGAGCCAAGGAGAAGAGCTATCCTAGGGGTGGCAACAATCAATGCCACTTTGTAATCCTGTGAGTGAACAGGAAGGCATGAGCTGGGCTGGAAAAAGGAGTGGGGAGCCAGACAGGAAGAGAAGGAGGGCGCTGAGCTTTGAGAGTAGAGCCAGCATGGAACTTCAAGGAGTGAGGGCAGAGGAAGGGAAGAGCAGAGGGGTACAGGCAGAGGTAGGGAGGGGCAGCTGGGAGAAAAGAGCCAAGCAGAAGGCGCACAGGACCAACCATTGCGGGCAGATCTGGGCTGGAGATTAGAGGGGGAAGGAGCCGAGCTGAACAAAGGGCTGCTGGGGCACAGATGGGCTGGGAGCGGCTGCGGGGGGAAGGGAAGGGCAGAGAAGGAACTGAGTTGAGCTGCACACAGTACCATGGGGGGCAGAGAGGAGAAGGAAGGTGGGAGGAACACCCTCAGGAAAATAGAGGATAGGGCTGTGACCAACCGGAGGGTCTTCTAATTGAGCGATGGTGCTTGGGGTTTCTCTGTGTGGGGAGGGGTGTGGCTTGTGGCTTCCTCTGAGGGAGGAGGATAGGAAGCCCACTGAGATCTTGTCCTGGGGTCCAGAATTCCTGTTGATGGGCCTGTTAGGGCTCCCCTCATGAAAGATGACTGGGTTGAAAA